GAGAAATGTATAGAAGTTCTTCATCAACCTCTGCAAGAAGTTCATCATTTGGATTTTTTCTTCGCAAATAGTTGTACAAAATGCAACAAGCAAATATAATGTAGTAAATAATCTTGAGCCGATAATGAGGTTCACTAGAGTTTCCAATAATTGGAAAATGTTTCTTAAAAACTCCAAATGCACACTCAATGACATTGCGGAAAGAAGCATGATGAAGATTAAATAGCTCACGAGCATTGCGTGGTGGATTCCTTGAGTATTCGCTTAAATGGTAACATTCTCCCCTATACGGAGTAATTAATCCACCTCACAGCATAAAACCAGCATCCACAAGGTAAAACTTACCTATAAACAATGAATAAATTAAATTATAATATTTTATTCAAAGTTATACAGTATATATTAAAATTCAATATATATTAATTACCTTAAGGAATTATTAGCGGATTCTCATGTCTGTTTAATGTATTTTTTATTATTATTGAATCTAATGTGGTCCATTCCCATCCAGGTAGGACTTATAAAAATTTCAAATCAAATATACAAATTGTTAGTACATTTTGTGTAAGAAAATATTTTCTCACGCGAAACCTTGGAGCTTCTTTTCTAGACACTTTCACACGTATATATGTTCCATCAATTGCATCAACATATTCCTAAAATTAATTGTTCAATATTTAAATAAACTTGGACTTATTTTTTTAAAAAAAATAATTGAACTTACATAGTTTATATGTTCACCTTAAAAGATGGGAAGAATCTAGAATTGTTGGTTATTTTCAAAGGCACTTGTGATCAATCTGGCTTATTAATAAATTTATCTACCATATGCATTATACATCGCAACACATTATGGAAATGAAGACTTGTTGTCTCTGTGGATCGTCGAAAAACTCAACATATGACTCGATTCCTCTCATTGTGTCCTAATAAGTAAAGTGTTTTGACTACTTGTTCCTCTATAGTTGCATGAACGGTGGGCCTAAGTCCATCATCTATAACTGGTAAACAACATAAATTCATAAATATTGGAGCTCTCATCCTAGTGATGTGGTGACAAAACTCATTTGAGACCAAACTTTCATAAGCTTATCCCGAGCTTCCTCTCTCTTGAGTCTTCTTAATTCATGAGTACGCTTAAGTTTTCTCCTTTTGTGAATTAGCAGGACAAAAAGTATGATAAAATACTCTACTAAAATAGCTACACGTTTCCTAACATCCATCTTTTTTTACCTTATGCAGAAACAGAAACAATACCAAATGTTAGAAAGAAAATCAAACAATTAAAAACTATAAGAAGCTATCACATAAAGAAAAAACAATGACATAAAAAATGCAAGATCTCAGCATATTCAACATTAGTCTAAACCAGCCATGCCTTGATCATATAAACACTTTAATAAGCAGAGATGTTCATAAGATAGAAAAATCATATAAACTTTTTAGACTCATTACAGGATTTGAATCATGTTTTCACATAGTTTTGCCAATGTTTCTTTAAAAGAAAAAAAAGAAAGGCAAATAATAAAGTGAGCAAAAAATTACTTCAAAAAAATCTGAAAATTAAAAAAAATGGACACCACAAACATCCAAGTAAATAAACGTACGCACATAAACTTACAGACATAGCAAGCAACATATTTGAATTATGAAAGTAAAAACCGATCAGTGAAATAATGAAAAGAATAATAAACAAATAAAATGCTAAATTATCAAAAAAACAAATATGAGAATCACACTGAAGCATGCAAGTAATTTACTAATTTAAGCAAGATTAAATATCTAGTCATTTACTAATTTAAGTAATTTACTAAATTTACTAATTTAGGAGACCATACCCACAATTGCATACCCAACATATTTGTGCCTGATCCTCTTATTTGTGCAAGAAAATGGTCACTAACATTATGTTAAACTATTTTTTTATCAAACAAGAGGTCATTATTTTACCTGAAAATGATGTCTAATTGCTCCTATTGTCGTTTCTTGCAGATAATCTAAACCAGACCATGAGAAAACAAAGTACCATATGCAAATCACATGTTCTCCAACTATCCAGATTTACACATGTGCTAAGCAAGTAATTGCAAGAAAATGATTGCAACCTTCTAAGTGTTGCTATGTAGATGCAAGCATTTAGAATGTTGACAATGTGATTCTCAAATCTAGCATGGACCTCATATTTCAGTTCAGTTGGTTCTTGGAAAGTTGTCGAACAGACTGGTAACATTAAACCACCTTCAAACACAATACCGCTCACTACTAAACAACAAATGACTAAGTAATTAATATAATTTAATTTAATTATCTTATATACCATGCACCAACTTGTCTCCATTTCAACTGTATATATAAATTTTTAACTTGGGACTTATGAACTTTTTTTGTCATTTAGCTGGTGTATATAGATTATCTATATATTTATATATGCATACATACGTGGAAGAAAGCACAAAAAATATAAGAAAACAACATAAGTTGAGGCTTTTTGGACAGCCACGATCCTAATATGAGTGCTTCTTTGTTTTTGTTTAAACTAGTTTCAATAGTTTTTGTTTTGATTTCTAAGGTTGCGCTTCTTTGTCCCATATCTAATTGTTTTTAGGATCACTTAGAAAAAACTCAATTTAGGGTAGAATCTTGTGGTTCATTTACCATACGAAAGGATATCTAGTTTTTATTTCTCATATTCATACATGTTTATACCTAAAAATATGTTTAACCATTCTCCTTTTTTCCTCCCAAAAACATATATTTATACCTAAGTGTACTGTGGTGGTATTTGTTTGTGCGGTTCAAGTATAAACAAATTTTTAGGTAATCTTAAATAAAACTTTCTGTTCTTTTCACTTGCATGCCATGCACCGTTATTTTCTTCATATATGTGTATGTATATATATATATATATATATATATGTATATTCAACTATTAGATATTTTTTGTGTATAAGACAAGAATCAACAAAGAGAAACTACTGAAAGTTAGGGAACATCAATGACCGGGAAGTTAATGAGCATGAGACATTACTCATTGCCCTTAGGAGAGTCAGGATTGATGATACTAGAGACCATCCACTATGGATAGGATTTAAATGTAGGGTAAGTCTTGGTAAAAAAATTGTTTGCCTATCTGGGTAGGCAAAGTTTTTGATTGCCTATGGACTATGAAACTAACACTCACCTACTCAGGCCTTAGCCAAACAAAACTTCAAGTTTGTTTAAAAAAAAATACGACTAGGAACACATGAAAATTGCATATTTAACTTTAGTACCTGGTTTTTTTTAAGTCTGCAATAATAGCAGTATGATCATAAAAGCACATATCAACAAATTTCCATGACAGGATGATTCTACTAATGCTTTTGCATATGATTATGGCGATGGTCATTCATTAAGAAGAAGTGGAGTTTTGAAAAAAAATAAAAGATAAATTAACATAAGCAAAAAAAGCTCTTTCTGAGGGCCAAGCCAGATAAGAAAGCTTTGAACAAGATAAAAAAAAAAAAAACTTGCTTGAAGAGCTGGCTAGGCCTGAGGCGAAGCAGAAGGAGTATGTAGCTGTCATTTTGCATGACAAAGAAATTGCTATTGCAGAACTTGAGGCAGCCAAGTCTCTGTTCCATCAAAAGCTGCAAGCATCGGTCAAAGAGAAGTTTGCTTTGGAATCTAAGTTAGTCCTTGGAAAACAAGATGTTGTTGAACTTGCAATACAAATTGAAA